GAATAGAAGATAAGCGAAGCTCGTGAGGTCTATGGAACCGGTGTGGAACCAGCCTAAGACCCTCCGATGCTCAAGTAAGATTGTTTTTTAAGAGCTCTTGATGTTGACCATATAGTAGTATAAAAGTCAAGCTGAAAAGTCTTACCCCTCTGTTGATGGTGAAGGGGTGTGTTTATATAGGGCATTTTGGATGCTTGTGGTGTTCATTTCCGATGTGGGACTTGTGGGATGGCCCTGTGAGGTTGACACGAGTCCTTAGATATTTCGGGCGGGTGCTTCGAGGTTGATTGTGCAGAATCGGTAGAATATGTTTATAAAAGTTGGGTATATTATTTGAATAATAAGTAAATTCATATTAGGTACATTATTTTTTTTAAAAGAAGTAATAGGTACGTTATTTTTTCAACATAAAATTGTATGTACGCTATTATATTTATAAAACAATCATATAATAGATAATTAATTACTTATTTTTCATAAATAAATAAATATATAAAACATTTTTATTAAATAATCCGATGAGGTGTGCTAAATATGAATTTATTGTTAAAATGTCAAAAAGTTTCCAAATTAATTCTTACATCCATTTGGAGGTGAGTCCCTATTCTGCAAATTAGATCTATGTCGTCCTTGTTCACTTGTTCGACATATGACAGTCCCAGCTCTCAACGTCAATTTTTGATTAAAATCAAAGGTAATATCATCCAATCATTCCATTAAAAAAAATACCAAAAAAGAATTTGTCTTTCGAATAAAATCGATTCGTGTCCATGCCTATTTTCAATGCACGGATAATAAATTCCATGCACTGGTTACAACTTACAATTGAAAACACAAATGCAAAGATAATAACCAGATTTGAAGTCGTCTCAAGAATAAATAATACGAACAGTCAATACTTTTAAATCACAACACAAACTTTGGGATTGGGAGACAAGAAGTTATTTCACCCATAGGGTCGACACGCCTAGACAATGAAGGAGAATCATTTACAGGAAGAAAAAGGCCACCATTTCCATTTGCACTCCATCCCTATACCATGTGGAGCAAGGTTTGTACAAATAATTAATACACATGCATGGATGTATTTTGTAAAGATGAGAGAGAGAGAGAGAGAGAGAGAGAGAGAGAACCTGTATGATTGCTTCCTTAAAAGCGGCAGTGAGATTGGTGCACCCTTCCATATGAATTCTTGTCATGGAGTATAATGACTTCTCCAAGCCAATAATCTCAGTAAGCTTGGGGGAGTGATTAAGATGAAATTCTCTCATGCGCAACATTTCTGAAAAATTTGGCATTTTTTCCAATGCAATGCACTCATCTGCTTGCAGGATTTCCAAATTAGTTGGTAAATCCGGGATTGCCAGAAGCTTTGAGCAATTAGACAATTGTAAAGTTTGAAGCTTGGAAAGGTGGCTGAGGGTTGGCAGCCCCTTAAAAGCATTTCCTCTTAAATCTAAAACTCTCAAAGAAGATAGACCCCCAAGATCTTCAGGAATTGCTCTATCAGCTAATTTGCAGTCCGCAAGGTATAAGTATTCAAGGTTTTTCAGTTGTACTATGGAATGTTGAATCTTTGACAAACTCTTACAGTCTTGGAGTACCAGTTTCTCGAGATTTGGGAGTTTTGAAAAGTCCGGAAATCTTTTCAGGCGATTGCAACCACCAAGATTAAGAAACTTCAACTTCTCAAGTGCCTGCGAGACAAAAGGGAAAACAAACATAAAAAACCAATGCGATGAGAGAAAGCAAGTTGTTGATATTTAATTGAAATAGAAAACACTTAATGATTTGGTTGAGATTATGTTGTACCACGTCCGAATCCTTCCAAACTTCTATGCGGCTATGACTCAGGTCGATATCAACCATGTTTGATTGATTGAAATCTTGTGGCATGGATTTTAGAGGACATTTAGGCCAACACAACAAACTTAACTTTTTGGAAAGATGTTTGCAGTGTCCTTCGAAATTTACACCTTTGAGTTTGAGCAATCTTAGTCCCTGCATCCCTTCTAATGCTTCTGCACCGAAGCTATCCTGCTGAGATTCTTGCAAATCTAAAGTGAGCCCTTCAATTTTCTCTGTTCCCTATTAGACAAAAGAAGGAAATAAGTATGAAAATGCTTAAGTTCAAATGAAAAGGGATTATACACATAACTAAAGCCATATATGAAAGAGAGGTATTATCATCTACTATCAGCTGCTGCGGTACTTCTGGATCAAAGACATTCAGTTGTGCTTACACTTCAGTTGTGTTTTCCAACTATCTACTTTAGTTAGGTGTTATTCAGCTTACATTACAGGTGTTATATTTTCCATACATAAGGTAGTTTAATAAATCAGTTTCTCTCTAGCTCAATTGGTTAAGAGCATTTACCTCTGCATCCGAGGTGCTATGTTCCCCCATCCCCCATTATTGTTTGCATTAAAATTTTTAAAAAAATCATTTTCTCCTCTTACAATTTCCTTTTTCTGCTTTACTTTTCTTTTCATTTAACATGCAGTATATTCTTAACACATTCTGGGCTTACAATTTCTTAGATGTACGGGATACTGGAAATACTTGTCTTTTGTTACCTACATGTATTTAATCCAATATGAATTGCGAATGTACTTACAGATTTGCTCCTCAATACGTCTTTTATATCTTCAGGATCCCACAATCTACTACGTTTTCCAGTGATGTTAGGGGAGTTTTCACGTACGATTTCTCTGCCGGTATCTCGAATCAAATCATGCATTATTAGGTTGTTTCCTTCGTCAACACTTATGAGGCATTGATCATGGAGTTCTCCAATTCCTATTTCTGTATCGAAGTCACAGCCATCCAATATTGTCACGACATGGTTCTTGTTCATTCCAATAAAAAAACAAGATATATCAAGAAAGATAGCCTGCACTTCATTATCAATTAGCCCCTCATAGCTTATTTTAAGCATTTTATGAATTTTCCCGTGAGGCTTTCTTTTCAATTTTTTCAACACACTTTTCCATTCATTTTTGGTTCTTTTACAACGTAGATAAGAACCTAAAACCTCAAGTGCCCATGGCAAACCTCCACAATATTTAGCAACTTTTCTTAAGAGTTTAAGATAACCCTCATCATTAGGATGATGCTTAGTAAAGGCACGACAACAAAGGAGCTGAAAAGCTTCTTCTTCACTCATTGGTGGTACCAAATATGTCTCATCCACCTCAAGTATCTCTAGAAAATGTTTGTTTCTTGTTGTTATAATAATTCTACTCCCTGGACCAAACGAGTCACGGTTTATAGCTAAGTCACATAATTGTTCCTCAGAATCAATATGATCAAAGATGACGAGTACCTTTATGCTGCCAAGTTTGTCTTTTATCTTCTTGGTCCCTTCAGCGACACTACTTACCTCTATTTTGGCTGGTTTCAAGATATCATAAAGAAGTTGCTTTTGCAATTTAACCATATCCCCTTTGCTCACTTCAAGAAAACTTTCACCTTGAAAACTTCGATAAAATTTGTTGAAAATGGCTTTTGCAACTGTTGTCTTACCCGTTCCGATCATACCCCAAATGCCAATAATGCGAACATCATCTGATCCTCCAACATGCAAATAATTACTGACTTCTTGCATGCGGGATGTCATTCCAATTTCGTTGGTGGCTACGTGTAAGCATATGTTGTTCAGTTTTCTGGTGATCTCGGCTACAATTTTCTCTACAAACTTTCCTTCATACCTGGCAGTTCAAATTTTTTTGGTTACAAGCAGTTCAAAGTAAAAATTAAACAAAAGCAAGATTTATTATTGAGTGCAGGATTAAACTGAACAACACATTTTGAGACTGAATAAGATTAATTTGAATATATTAGTCAGGGTGTTTAGACTTGCCCTTAAATAATTTATTGATCAGGTGTAGAATCAGGGTAATAGCAGAAAGTAAAAAAATAGATCCGCTTTCGACAAAAAATAAAAAATAAAAACGTAGATAATTGAAATATTTGTGTGATTACCCATCATTGTTTTTAAGGTTCCCGCCAGCCAAATTTGCAGCTTCAAACAAAGCAGATCTCCACCTCTGTATCTTATCTTTATCTTCAGGGAAGTTCGCTTCATGTCTTTGGAATGCTTCTGCAAAACTACCAGTTTGTTTCCTGACTTGTGTAGGATCAACATCATAGAAAATTGGAAAAACCATTTGGCTAAGTCTTCTTCTTCTACACTCCATGATCTTCTCCAGCTCCTCAAGACACCATGTGGAATCCGCATACCCGTTTGAGAAGACGATGACAGAGATCCTAGACTGTTCGATTGCTTGCTTTAGTTCTTCTGATATATTTTCGCCTCTTGGTAGTTCTTTCTCATCAATATAGGCGTTGACCCTGTTGTCTATTAATGTACAATAGAGGTGGTCAGTGAAGTTCTTGCGTGTGTCTTCACCTCTAAAGCTCAAGAACACGTCGTATTTCCAATGTTTTGAGGAATTGGATGGTGAGGATGAAGCAAGGGCTGTACTGGTGGCATCCATGGATTGTTCTTGATAGAGGTTTGTGTTTTACACAGATTATATATGAAAATGTGGAAATACCCCAAGTCAAGTCAACTCCTCGTTTCAGTCCACATAAAAGTCCTCATTCACTACATCGAGCCATTATGATAATTAATCTGAGGCTCCAAGGCAGGCCACATCAGCTGTGGAGGCTACATCACAAATGAACACTCAGATCTACTTGAACACAGATCTAGCCCTCTAACGCAAAACCTTTTTCTATAAATCAGAAGAAAAAACTTGCTCAGCAGACGAGTCTGCAGGAACAAGGAATGGAATGGATACCAGTACAGCCGTTGAAGCTTCCTCTCCAACCTTTTCATCCTCCTCATCCTGCTCCTTAGACGATGAGACGTACGATGTGTTCTTGAGCTTTAGAAGTGAAGACACACGCAAGACCTTCACGGACCACCTCTACTGGAGGTTAAAACATGCCAGAGTTGACGTCTTTATTGACGAGAACGAACTAAGAGGAGGAGAAATTATACCAGACGAACTCAATCAAATAATCCAGCGATCCAGGATCTCTGTCATCATCTTCTCAAGGAGGTATGCGGATTCCTTATGGTGTCTTGAGGAGCTGGAGAAGATCATGGAGTGTAGAAGAACACTGGGGCAAATCGTTTTGCCAATTTTCTACGATGTTGATCCTAGTGATGTCAGGGAACAAACTGGTAGTTTTGCAGAAGCATTTCAGACACATGAACAGCGCTTCCAGGGAGTTAAAGATAAGGAAGAAAAGATACATTCGTGGAGAGAGTCTCTAACTGAAGCTGCAGGTCTGGACGGCCCGGTTCTTAGCAAGATTGATGGGTAATTACTTATTTCCACTTCTTTGTTTTTTTCTTCATTTTGTTAATGTTATTCCCGACCCATATTTGGTTTTTCAGAGTAATGCAGAGCTTAGAAACTCTGATAAATTCACATGGATCAGGATCAACATAGTGCACCGCAATTAAATATATTTCTAGTAATGTTTTCATCAGAAGTTACAAAATTTTAGTAGGATTTTAAAAGTTTGGTTCATCAATTTCTGAATAAATTTTCAACTATATATTCAATATTCCCAAGCTCTGTAGTCATAATAAGTAAGATATTAGTTCAATTTAATCTATTTCCTAATAAATCTTACTTTTGTTCAATTTTGAGTTTATCTACCAGGTATGAAGGGGTGTTTATCAGGAAAATTATTGACGAGATCAATAGAAAATTGAAGAGCACATGCTTAGGCATAGCCACCAAACAAGTTGGAATAGAATCTAGCAAGCAAGAAATCAGTAACTATGTACAAGTTCAAGTTGGAATAGATTCTCGCTTGCAAGATATTAGCACTCATTTCGATGCTGGAGGATCAAATAATGTTTGCATAATTGGAATTTGGGGTATGGGTGGAATGGGTAAAACAATGGTTGCAGAAGCTATTTTCAACAAATTTCATCCTAGTTTTGATGCTAAAAGTTTCATTCAAAACATGAGGGAAAGGAAACTGGTTGATCTTCAAGAACAACTTCTCTTTGATATCTTCAAACCGACCAAGGTAGAAGGAAGTAGTATGGATGACAGGATGTACGAGATAAAGAAAAGACTTCCAACAAGAAAGATACTTGTTATACTTGATGATATTTGTCATGCAGACCAACTAAAGGCATTAGCTATTGAACGTGACTCGTTTGGTCCAGGAAGTAGAATTGTTATAACAACAAGAAACAAACATTTGCTAGAGATGCTTGAAGTGGATAAGATATGTTGCCTTAAAACAATGAATGAAGTAGAAGCTCTTGAGCTACTTAGTTTGCATGCCTTTAAAAGTCGTTCTCCAAGTCAAGGATATCTTGAACTCTCAAGAGAAGTTGTTGGTTACTGTGGTGGTTTGCCACTAGCACTGAAAGTTTTAGGCTGTTCTCTATACAATAGAAGCACAACAGAATGGAGAAATGCATTGGATAAATGGAAAAGACTTCCTCCTAAGGAAATTCACGAAAAGCTTAAATTAAGCTATGATGAGCTACCCGATAATTACCTGAAAGACGCATTCCTTGATATATCATGTTTCTTCATTGGAATGGACATGAACTATGTCATGCAAATATTGGACCGTCATTGCTTTTCTCCAGTAAAAGGACTGAGAGTCCTCCTTGAACAGAGCCTCTTAACAGTTGGTGAAGATAACAAGTTGGTGATGCATGATTTGGTTCGAGACATGGGCAGAGAAATTGTACGTGCACAATCCCCTAACATCCCTGGAAACCGTAGTAGATTGTGGCATCATGAAGACGTCAAAGACGTATTGAGGAACAAATCTGTAAGTATATTCGCAATCCGAATGTCATAACTGCTTGTAGGTAATAACAGAGAAGTATATGTATATCCCACATCTAATCAATTTAATGCCTTGGACGTTCCAACAATATATTATACAACGCAAGATACAATGTTCTGTACATATTAGATTATAGGGTTAAATAACTTTTTAGTCACCGAGTTTTATTCAAAACATTAATTTGATCATTGATAAAAAAAAAATTAACCAAATTGATCACTATACAACCCAACGTGTTAAGAAAAAAAAAAGGAAAAAGAAAAGAGAAATAACAGAAACACGTTTAATGGATCTTCATGAATATAACAAGGAAAATATAAATTAACTCCAATAATTTTCTATCTTCATGAATATAATAAGGAAAACATAATTAACTCCTCTAATTGAAGCTAACTAAGATACCTAATTTATATGGCTTTGTCTACCTTTCCTGTAGTTCATACATCCAATTCATGGCTTTTGCTTAATGTGTATATGATATATATCATCTGTTTAAATGCAAATAACCTTTTTGTTACTTCGTTCCTTCTTTTGTTTTTGCTTCTAACAGGGAACAAACGAAATTGAAGGTCTCACTTTAGATTTGAAAGATTCTAACGAGCCGAGATTCAGTACCAAAGCATTTAGAACGATGCGGAGACTGAGATTGCTAAAACTCAATTACGTACAGCTGACTGGAAGTTACAAGCATTTTTCGAATGAGTTACGATGGTTTTGTTGGCATGGATTTCCTCTGAAGGTCATGCCAAAAGATTTTTATCAAGAAAATCTAGTTGCTATTGACCTGAGCTATAGCAAGCTCATACGATTTTGGGAGGATTCCCACGTGGTACAGTATAATCATAACCTCAACCAATTTATTAATCCGTTCCTCAACGAGTTTTGTAAATACCAACATCTTTCTTTCTGTCTTGTATTTGATTTTTGATTTTTGTTTTCCATTTTGTCTAACAGTTTCTTGAGAAGTTGAAATCTCTTGATCTCAGCCATTCCGAGTGCCTGAAAAAATTACCCGACTTTTCAATACTCCCAGATCTCGAGGAATTGATACTCAGAGGCTGTAAGAGTTTGTCTTGGGAGCACTGTTCCACGATGAGACGGTTGGACAAGCTTAAATTGTTAGATCTTGGGTACTGCAATTTAACTGACAAAGTAGTTCTTGAATATCTTCGGCGTCTACGTTCTTTAAAAATTTTACGTCTGGATGGAAATGGTTTCAATTGGCTACATTTCCTCAGAGATCTTTCCGAACTTGAAGAGTTAACTTTAAATGATTGCAAAAACCTTAGACGAATCACTGAATTACCAAAGAATTTGAAATTCCTGAAAGCGAATTACTGCACTGCACTAGAAAGCATTGAATTTTCTGGAGACATTCCGAATATGAGAGAATTGGATCTGAAGGACTGCCGCAACCTCGACTATATTCCAGAATTGGAAGTCTCGTCACGCTTCACGGAAACGATTCATATGGAAGGGTGCACCAATCTCAATGCTCAGTTGAAGAAGAACATGCTAGAGGTAATCTCTCTATCTTTCTCTGACTCACATGCATACATTCACGCACAATCAAGATTTGTAATGCTTACACAAAACTTTCTCCACATGGTGTAGGGATGGGCCGCGAGCGGAGGGGGTGGCCTTTTCTTCTCTGGAAATGATATTCCTTATTGGTTCACAACTGTGGTCAATGAGGATGAAATTGTCTATATCGATGTGCCGAATTGTGGCATAGGTGCCTTGACTGTGTGCATCATTTATTCCTCAGACGACTCGGAGTCTAGTGGGAGACTTTCTTTGACAGTTGCGAATCGTACCCAGCGCACTGCATTTTCCATATTTCCAATGACCGTCTCTGGAGTGACTCCCCATGAAGATTATCTCTGGCTTGGACGTATACCAAACAATGTTCTCAATCTAAAAGGCGGGGACAAGGTTCATGCTCGCGCAGAATTCTTAAGAGAAGTGGGCAAGAAGCATTTAAAGTTGAAGAAAACAGGACTCTGTCTAGAGAGAGAGTTTATGCGTGAAGACTATAAGATAGATTGGGAGTCTAAACCATATACATATCCTGCTACTGATGATGACGCGTGGCCAAGCAAACACTGGCATAACCTCATACGGAAAACGAGACGGTTGTACCCCCGGGAATCGTAGATTTCTCGCAAGGCCCCTTTTTGACACGTTTTGATTCGTGGTTGGGAGGATGGAAGAGGTGGTTCGGTAAATAATTCTGTGGTCCTCTCTTTTCTACAAATATGTCTGTTTCATCATCTAATTTGTAATTAATATAAAAAAATTCATATTTTTCTCCCTCTTGTTTTGGTAAAACCCTGTCCATCATCTTGTACCCGTTGTCACGGATCGCACTTGAGCGTGTGCTATTGTGATTCTATTGGGATATCTATGTGCTTACGAGACAGTCTAAGTGTGGAAGGGCGAGAGCTTAAGAGCTAGAATCGTTTGTGTTGGCCAGGTTGCATGGCTGAAGGGTATTTTAGGTATTTTCGAAGGTTACGGGAGGAATCTGAGGAAGCTAAAAATACTGGGACGTTCGTGATGTCAAGATACACGCAACGCAACTGACGGTTCGCCATTCGGAGTTCGTATGAATTAGTTATGCTCAATTATGACTCCTCGTGCATAGGTGATGTCCCTTCTTGGCAGAAGGCTAAATGCATAAAATGCTATATAAGGGGTGACATGGTGTGATGCTCTCCACCACCCCTGGTGCTTACACCCTTGTGTCACTAAGCGAGCATCCTTATGATATTGGAGGTAGTCATAATAGCGGGCATAAGATTGGTGAAGGATAATATATGTCTCCGAGGGAAAGGACTTCCCGAGGACAGTACGAACACGCAGGGCCGTTCGTATTGCGCATTGTTGGAAAGAGTGAGGTCAACGTATGACATTCGCTATACCATCGGCTAACGAGGCATTTGACAATACTCAATGGACTTGGCTTGGGTTCGGCCTTGTCTAAGATGGAAGGAAGATATTCGAATGCCGGTATGCATGGATTGCGACCCCATGCAATGCATAGATGGTTATGTGGGACATTCGGAATATATATGTCGCCAAGGCTTGGACGAATTGCTAGTGTGATAGCTTTCATGTATAGCTTGAGGATGTGGGCTATAAAGGGTGCTAACGGAATGACCGACAGAAGTGTGGGTAAACCGATGGTGTGTTAGATCGCTATGTCTTGACTTGGAATGAGCGAGCCACGAGTTTGGCATGCGACGTGGTCGATGCAGTTAACGTGTCTTATGCAACGCTTGATGTATGAGCGTCGAGGGTCCGTTGCCCAACTAGGGCTCAGCTAATACCCATGCCCTAAACCCATGCGGCCCAACCTCAAGGTCCGCCGAAGCCTAAGGCAGCTTGTAACAAACCCAAACAACTCTCTTGCTGAGCTGCCGAAGCCTTCATGCTCCTCCAAGAGGCCTAAAAAAAAATTCAAACGACCCCTGCCGTTCGGCAGGATCTGTTCTAGCTACAAGGCGCTTGCCAAACAATTTTTTAAAACCCCATTTCCAATAAACCTTGCTGAAACCTAGCCATTTCTCTCTCATTTTGTTCCTTGCCAAAGCCCAAAGCCCGACCCTTTTCCGAACAAGCTCAAGCCCAAAAGTCCAACTCCAACTAGGGCTCAACTCCAAAACAAACTCCTAAGGCCAAGCTCAGTACTCAAGCCTAGCCCTTGCCTAGCCCTATCTTGGATGGAGTGTCTCGAATGGCGAAATTGGATGGAGGGCGCAACCCAAGCCCACTCCTTCTACGCCCTAGCCCACGAAAGCACATCTCAAAATTTTGGAGCCCGGCTCAAGTTTTTTATGCCCAGCTATCTTGTCGAAGCTTGGGCCCATATTTTGGAGCTTAGCTCCCTCGCTGAATGGGAGAAGAAAAGGCCACACGGGGCTCGCCCACTTGCTGACCTAGTAGCTCCAAAATAGGACCTAGCTCCAAAAAAAAAATTAAAAATTAAAAATTAAAAAAATAATAATTTTGGCCTTGCTGAACGGCAAGGACCATGCAGAAGCTGGGGGACTACCCATTGGCTGACCTAGCCCCAAAAAAAAAAATTGCAAAAAAAAAAAAAAAAAGGAGCCTTGCCGAATGCCAAGGACCATGCAGAAGCTGTGGGGGGACTACCCATTGGCTGACCTAGCCCAAAAAAAAAAAAAAAAAAAAACTTGAGACTTGCAAACCACTTAGGTTTTTGTTGCAACTTCTCTCCCTCCAAAGTCCTTCTTATTCGGGGACTTGGGGGACTGGGGATAATGCACTATACGACTTGGAGGATGAACTACGATGTTGCTCGGCCAGTGCACTTAAAAATTACAAATCCCCAAACAAGAAGTACCTTCTTACTCGCGAACTTGGGGGACTACTGTTAACACCGTAACTAACCGAGCAACTAGCTAAGCAAGATTAGCCACGTGTCATGCTTTGAGAGGTTATCACATTCACCAAAGAAGCCTTGCCACAAGTCACCACTAGGGGCAATGTCAAGAGTCCCACATTGGAAAACTACAATAGGTGGAGACTCCCCCTCACCTATAAAAGAAGACTGCTCTCCTCTTAGAAAGGGATCGGAGGCTAGGCTCTCTCTTCAGGACTCTCCTGCTAGTCTGGCCTTCGGGTCCTGGGTCTCCAGACCTGGGGACTTGACCCCTAGGCTTCAAATTCCTAACTTTGTACCTTCGGCCCTAGGCCTTCTTCCATTTACCTTTGGGTCTAATCCCCTTTGTACAAATGTAAACATTATCATAATGAGAACATCTTCTCCGTGGACGTAGCCCAATTCATTAAGAGTGAACCACGTATATCTTGTCTTTCGTATATTTATCGCTTGCTCAGGTCTTCACACACACATGCTGAAAGTCCTCACCTTCACCCATCATCCATCACACCTCATCACTAAGTTGGACTCAATCTTGGCCGAACCATTTTGAGCATCAACAAAATTATATTAGACGAACTCAATCAAATAATCCAGCGATCCAGGATCTCTGTCATCATCTTCTCAAGGAGGTATGCGGATTCCATATGGTGTCTTGAGGGGCTGGAGAAGATCATGGAGTGTAGAAGAACATTGGGGCAAATCATTTTGCCAATTTTCTACGACGTTGATCCTAGTGATGTCCGGGAACAAACTGGTAGTTTTGCAGAAGCATTTCAGACACATGAAGTGCGCTTCCATGGAGTTAAAGATAAGGAAGAAAAGATACAGTCATGGAGAAAGTCTCTAACTAAAGCTGCAGGTCTGGACGGCCTGGTTTTGAGCAAGTTTGATGGGTAATTACTTATTTCCATTTCTTTGTTTTTTTCTTCATTTTGTTAATGTTATTCCCGACCCATCTTTGGTTTTTCAGAGTAATGCAGAGCTTAGAAACTCTGATCGATTCACATGGATCAGGTCGACATAGTACACCGCAATTAAATATATTTCTAGTAATGTTTTCAGAAGTTTACAAAATTTTAGTAGGATTTTAAAAGTTTTGTTCATCAATTTCTGAATAAATGTTCAACTATATATTCAATATTCCCAAGCTCTGTAGTCATAATAAGTAAGATATTAGTTCAATTTAATTTAAATCTTACTTTTTCTCAATTTTGAGTTTATTTAACAGGTATGAAGGAGTGTTTATCAGGAAAATTATTGACGAGATCAATAGAAAATTGAAGAGCAGCCACCAAACAAGTTGGAATAGAATCTAGCAAGCAAGAAGTCAGTAAATATGTTTTAGGCTCTTCTCTATACAAAAGAAGCACATCGGGATTCCTGAAGGAGTGAAGACGCATCGGGATTCGTGGCCAAGCAATTAATTCTGTTGTCCTCTCTTTTCTACAAATACGTCTGTTTCATCATCTAATTTGTAAATAACATAAAAAATTTCATCTTTTTCTCCCTCTTGTTCTGGAATCTTGTACCAGGAAACAGTATTCCTTTGATGACTTTATTATTTCTTGTCTAATTATGTAATAACCTAAAAAATCATGCATGGTTTTATTATTTTTATGGAAAGTCTTATTAAGTTGTGTGACTTTATTGGATGTTTTATAAATTTGGTTTGATGTGAAAATATTGAAATTAAGTGAGTTTAATCTCAAATTTAGACTAAAATGCCCTTATGATTAAGTTTATGATTTTTTTCAAATAAAGTAGGCACATTTTGACCAGGCCCGTTGGTCTTAGTCCGGCCCGGCTTAATGGGCTTTCTCAAGCCCGACTCATGGGTTGAGCTTGAGCTTTGAAATTTCTAAAATAACTGGTTTGGCCCGGTTCGACCCAAGCCCATTAAATCTGGGTCAGGCTAGACGAGCCCTATTCTTAGGTGGGCTAGTTATTATTTTTAAAATAATATTTTAGTTTCTTGGGTGGGTTGTTGTTTTTAAAACTGAACACAACACTAGAAAACTGAACAACACATGCTTAGACGTAGCCACTAACCAAATTGGAATAGAATCTCGTGTGCAAGAACCAAAAGAGATGATACATATTTTCTAACAACAAATGCGCATTTTCTAAGGATACTTGAAGTAGATGATACATATTTTCCACCACCAATGAGTAATGAAGAAGCTCTTCAACTCCTTTGTTGTCGTGCCTTTACTGAGCATCATCCTAGTGATGAAGAATATATTGAACTTTCAGGAAAAGTTGTTGAATACTGTCGAGGTTTGCCACTGGCGCTTGAAGTTTTAGGTTCTTATCTAGGTAAAAGAACCAAAAGAGAATGGAGAAGTGCATTGTGTAACTTGAAAAGAAAGCCTCATGGGGAAATTCATGAAAAGCTTAAAATAAGCTATGATGAGCTAATTGATGATGAAGTGCAGGCTATCTTCCTTGATATATGTTGCTTTTTTATTGGAATGAACAAGGACCATGTCACGGCAATATTGGATGTTTGTGACGTTGATTCATTATTAGGAATTGGAGACCTCCATGATTGATGCCTTGTAAGTGTTGATGAAGGAAACAACCTGATGATGCATGATTTGCTTCGAGATATAGGCAGAGAAATCGTACGTGAAAAATCTCCTAGCATCAGAGGAAAACGTAGCAGATTGTGGGATCCTGAAGATGTAACAGACGTACTGATGACCAATTCTGTAAGTACATTCACAATCAAATTGGATAAAATGCATGTACGTAATAAAAGAGAACTATATATGCATCCCCATCTCATAAATTGTAAGCCCGAAATGTATCAACAAACATTATCCTGCAGGTTGAATGAAAAGAGAAATAAAGCAGAGAAAGGAAAGTGTAAGAGAGAAACTGATTGATTGAATGATCATAAATACAATAAGGAAAATGTAACGCCTGTGCCAGAAGCTGGCAAAGATACCTAACCAATGTAGAGAGTTTGTAAAACAGAACTCATATATTTCTTTGATCCAGAGGTACCGCAGCAGCTGATAGTAGATAATAAATGCTGCCTACACCTCTCTTTTAGTTCATACATCCAATTTATGGCTTTGCTTCATGTGTACAAATAATCTTTTCACTTGCAATTTAGCATCTTCTTACTTATTTCATTTTGTTTTTTCTTACAGGGGACAGAGAGAATTGAAGGGGTCACATTAGATTTGCAAGGATCTCATGAGCCTAGCTTCAGTGCAGAAGCATTGAAAAATATGCAGGGACTCAGATTGCTCAAACTCAAAGGTGTAAAGTTCACGGGAGACTGCAAACATCTTTCCAAAAGGTTAAGATGGTTGTGTTGGCCTGGGTTTCCTCCAGAAGCCATGCCAGAAGATTTCAATCAACCGAACATAGTCGATATCGACCTGAGTCATAGCCATATACAAGTTTGGAAGGATTCTGACATGGTACAATATAATCTCAACCAAATCATTAATTCTTTCCTCCAGGTTTTTTAAATACCAACGTCATGCCTTCTCTCATCTAGTTGGTTTTTTATGTTTGTTTCCCTTTTGTCTCACAGCCACTTGAGAAGTTGAAGTCCACTTGAGAAGTTGAAATTTCTTAATCTTGGTTATTGCAATCGCCTGGAACAATCACCGGACTTTTCAAAACTCCCAAATCTCGAGAAATTGATACTCCAAGGCTGCAAGAGTTTGTATGAGATTCACCATTCTATACTACAACTGAAAACCCTTAAATATTTGTGCCTTGCGGACTGCAACTTAACTGATGAAGCAATTCCTGAAGATCTTGGGGATCTATCTTCTTTAGAAGAGTTAGATCTAAGAGGCAATGGATTTAATGGGTTACCAACTGTTGTGAAATTTATTGCAAGCGCACAATCCGCACAAGTAATACAGTGATAAGTGAAATGTCGTTCCCACGAAGAGTGATTTAATTTACTAAGTACCAATTGTGATTAATGATTAACCCAAGACTTTATTTGAAATTTGAACAATTGAATGATGAGATTTGGTTGATTAATTAACTAAAACAATGAATAAAAGCAAGCATAGAACAATAAAGTAGTAAGATTCAAGTTATGAGAGCACTAGAGCTTCCGATTTCACCATAGCCAATTCTACCCAATTCCCTTAGCATGTTAATCCTAATTATTCTCCACGTTGACAGTCGATTTTCCCTACTTTATTCGATACTCCATCCCTGGTTATACCAAAAGTATTCTTATTACCAACCCACTCTATCACTAGTGATGGAATTAAGATAATAAGAACTCATTAAACTCCTTGAAAAATCTGCAAAACAACCACATAAGTCATGACGAACATCCCTGTCTAATCATGTAACTTATGGCATCTATTACAAGAAGCAACCCTAAATTGGATATCCCTATCGTCAATTTAGCATCAAAACAATTAAATGTTGGCCAAACATTCAAAGCATTAAGCATGGTAATAGATACTCAACATGGAAAAATACTTGGAATTAACATTGACTAAAGTAATTGAGTATTCATGGCTAGGCTACATCGTAGCCCTAGCAAAAGAAATTAGTTCATGACAACTTTAATAAAAACCATGATAAACAGTGTCATAGGAAAGAAAAAACCAATTGAGGATTTAATCTTTGCACAGCAGCAACTCTCGCTCCAGGTCTTGTCTTCCTCTCTCTAAAACTCTCTCTCGTGCCTTTGTAGTCTATGGTCTCCCAATAATCCTCCGAACTTCCTGGGCTTTAGGTTAAAGCTCAGTATTTATAGGCCAAAGGAATTCTCCAAAAGAGAAAGAAGAATAATAATTAATTAGGAATTAGATGAATAATAGGAAAGCCAAAAGGCAAAACCCAAACAGAGGAGGAAAAATAGAATAGAGTACGGCTGAGGCAGACTTGGGAATTATCCAAGTCAAAATAGGAAATTGCTTTGTGCAGAGATGGGTGCGGCTGAGACTTTGAAAATAAGGATTTCCAAATCAAAATAGGGAAACTCATATTGGGCTGTTTTGGGGCAGAGAATATAGGGAAAAGCCGCAGTTGTAGTTGGAGAAAAATTCTTCCAACTTGAAGAAGGAAACCAGCCTTGTGACAGCTCAACAAATGACGACAACTCCTCCAATTTCAGCAAATGATTGATGGCAGCTTCTTCCCAAAAGTGAACAGCAAATGCAAAGCCGCAAAATGCTTTCTAATATTTCCAGCGACACTTGTCTAGGCCAGGCTTGTGTGCTTCATCAAAGTAATCAAGGGATTCTTCTTCAAAGCCTATTGCAATACAAAGGTACTGACCCTTTTTTCTCAATAATTGTTCACAAGATGCACAGCCTTGCTAAACCTCAGCAAATGCAGATGGGCTTTGACACCAAAGCTCGACAGATGCACAAGGCATAACCTAGCACCTCCATCAGCTTCATACCTTTCAGCTCCGAAAAATGTTGGTAAGTTTCTCCAACTCTATCTTTCTGGCGCTGGTCACTGAGACCAGTTGTGGGTATAAATTGACACTTGCACAGATACACTCCAGGTGTTTGATGAAATGACATAGTGAATTCTTGATACTTTGTTGAGTTGATAATTCCACCCATTTGGATCCCTTAAGCTTCCAAAATTATAGTTTTTCCTCCAAAGCCTTGCTAAGTATGATTTCCTACAAAATCTTCACCAATCACATTAAACTAACCAATTTCACACGAAAACTATGCAAATAGAGATAGATTATATATGCAAAATATGAATCTATCACCAACCCTCAATAGGCTTTCTAGGCTTCAAAGTTTACAATTGACTAATTGCGCGAACCTTCGGGCGATCCCAGATTTACCAACTAATCTGGAAATCCTTCAAGCGGATATGTGCATTGCATTGGAAGAAATGCCAAAATTTTCAAGTATGTTGTGCATGAGGAATTGCACCTTAATCACTCCCCAAAACTTACTGAGATTCCAGGCTTGGATAAGTCGTTGAGCTCCATGACAAGAATTCATATGGAATGGTGCATCAATCTCACTGCTGCTTTTAAGGAAGCAATCATGCAGGTTCTCTCTCTCTCTCTCTCATGTTTACATGTTAAATGCATGCATATCTATTAATTGCTTGTACAAATCTCGCCGCACATCGTGTAGGGATGGAGTGCGTGCCGAAATGGTTGCCTTTTTCTTCCTACAAATGATTTTCCTTCATGGTTGAGGAGTGTCGACACGAAGGGTGAAATACTCGGTTGTGCCCCCAAAGTATTCGGTTTTGAATGAAAAGTTTTGACTATTTGCATCTATACTTAAAATGACTTCAACTATTGTGATTTTCGCATTTGTGCTATCAATTGTACCCGATCCATGGAACTTTTTACCCGTGCAGTGAAAATAAGCATGTGCGCAGATCGGTTTGATTCGGGACACAAATATTTTTTAATGGAGTGATTGGACAATATTGCCTCTGATTTTAATCAAAAATTTGAAGTCGAGACTGACATACACTGGGTAAGACAACAAGAATGACAGATCTAATATGAAGAATATGGACTAAAATGATGCGTTTGGTATACTATTCGTGACACAAAATTACCTGATATATATTTGCTTTTGTGTCTTAGGCTTAGCTATTGTCACCTGCACATGTACTCCACTGGGAGACTCACTTCCATTAATGGGTGATACAGCCAAGCACACGTCGCAAATTTTTTCTTTGGTTTTTAAATAGTCATAGTAATATGTTGCATTCACATCATTGTCACAAAAGTATGGATCGATTTCCGTCTACAACTGTTACAAACTAGCTCTTGATAAGTGGTATTTCCTTCCCCAATATTCGAAGAGGTGCCAAGTCTGAATCCTCTTCCCTATTTATATACCAAAACCGCAAGAATATTTACATTTTTTCTTGACATTAATGAGTTGTACTTTACACAGCAAGAACTACTACTTAAGGCTCTGAAAATAACATTTACCAAAAAGGAATCAGAGCGCTACTGCAGAATACAAGTAATAGACAAATCTGGAGTTATTTACGCCAGTTGACGCCTAAACAAATCAGCACCATCCTCAACATCATCAGTTTTAATGGATCCACTTTGTGCCACAAGTATTCTGTACACTCTCTTGGAACAAACCTCACCCACTCTTCTGTCATCACGAAGTAAACCTTCAGTTATCAAGTCCTTCAGCAGAAATTCCTTTTGATGAACCTGTCATTTCAATATAGAGCAACCAAGAAAATAGAGAAAAAAAACAAAGTAAATAGAATCTACAAAAAAGTGTTCTGCCTTGATATAGCAATGTACATGCTGCTGGATGCAAGGATGCCTTGTGAAAAATGGTATATATATACACATATATACGTAATCAAATATCAATCTTATATCAATGCATATTGCAAAAGCATGGAGGGGACATATTCAAACTAAATATACATTGCAAGTTAACCCTCCAAATCAGTGTACTTTTACAGGCGTCAATTAACTCGATCAAAGGAAAAAATTATAGATACAATCAAAGCAACTTTGTTCGCAGTGACATAGAACGGGCATACCATAATCCTAATTAACATATAGCGGAATTTCATGGTTGTACTGCATAAATGGTGAGTAGTCATCAGACATATTTCTCAGTAGTCATCTGCACTGCCCAAACCATAAATGGCTATTCAGGAAGCAGAACTAGCTGAACCTAAAGTTGGCCAAAATCCCTTCAAACCGGTTTGGTAAAAGGGGGGATGATAGTGACAATGACAAGATCCCAGTATCTCCCCACATTGGAAAAGTCAGACATGCAAGCTAGTTTGCAAGGGAAACTCTGTCCATGGGTCCTATAAAGTGGTATTAGAGCATAGCAAGATTGGAAAAGCTGAAGGTTGAAGTACCCTCTATCATTTATGGTCTTCAATAAGATTAGTTCATGAACTATCTGTGATCATGAAGCACTCAAATATGTTCATGGTTAATGACATGGGAATAGCAACACTAAGGGAGCCCATTTAAATGGATCACAACAATCCTACACCCCAAAGTGTGTGCAACTTGATTTTCACTGTTGTAATGGTGGACAAGATGAACAAGTTGGTTTCATAAATAAAACAAGATCAGCTAGTCGGAATTTCAGGGTGGAAAATTTCTTTCCATTTCAGCAAATACCAGAAAAAGATACTAAGCTCCTGGCTATACAGCGTCAAATCACAGCAGAAAAAAAAAATTCCCAGCGGTGAACAGCAGAAAAATAGTGAAATAAAGCAATAGAATTGCAGTTCGAACGAAAATAAGAGTCCTAGGGCAAAGCAACTCTTACAGGAACTCTATAATATGATTTCTGGAATTAAATTAATAAAACTCGAATACAAAGTCTCTTAATAGGCTATTTATACTAGGATTACAGCACCCCTAGCCTGCTAGCCTTAATTTTGAAAGTACCTAATAAATCCTAGCTTATTCCCTTTAAAAACTAGCATGACTACTAATTAAAAACACTAGGACTGTAAGTCTATCACATAACATAAAACATAAAACATAAAACCCTAAGCAAGACAAATAAAAGACAATAAATATAACATAAATCCCAAACTAATTAGAACCCTAGCATAGGTGGCAAGCGGGGCCCAAGTACTCCTGGAGAGAGAGACTTGTAGATGCTGCTCCTCCATCACATCTCCAAAACAAGCCCTTGAGATTCCTACAGGACCTACAGTATGTTCACGCTTTTAACTTATTAAGGAAGGTTTCCATCTATTTCCATGGAAAATGAAAAGGACAAAAGAGAAACATTATAATATATATTTAATGTCGGAAAAACACAAAAAGGGTGTGTTTAGACACCTAAGGAAACTAGATGTTAGCACTGCAGTTCAGAAAGAATTCATCATCAAAATGGAGGCCGTTGCAGACCATAGCAGCAATCAACAGAACTAATGTAAATTTATAAAATGGTCCCAAAACTTGTCAAATATCATCCCATTAGGTTGATGAGCAAAACATTCTAGAAAACTTTATTCCAAGATAATATGTATCTGTGACTTGTCAATAGCCATAAATCCATTCACTTCTTCCTGGGAAACCAAATGCGCCTAAATTGAAGTGCATATGGGTCTAATGAAGACAGTGTTAGATCAATCAACAAATGTTCATTTATATTTCGGGCAGGTTGAAGCATATTATACTTACCGATACATTTTGATCCATGTAAACACTCAACAGAGATTTCATGGTAGGGTACTTCTTCCATATAGCAATAGCAAACCGTGGCTGTACCTTTGGGATAGCTACCAAAGCTTTTAACCTGGATGCAGAAACTAGCATTAGGTATAAAATAAAAATCCTTGCAGAGTAATGAAAAACTTGTGAAAAACAGACAAACCAAATTAATTTGTATTTTGTACAGAGAAGGCTTGTTGAACAACATATTTTCCTGATGTCTGCTAAAAGTGATTTGACATCTGTAGTTGAGAACACTAATAGGTAGAAAGAAAAAGACTGGGTGAAACTAAGCCATGCTAAGGTTTGGGAGATTAATTGAAATTCAATTCATAAATATATGTGGAATTCCGGAAATCCAGTTTTAGTTGAGGGGGCCATGGTTCTTTTGAGGCAGTGGTTGAAGGAGGGCTTGTAGGAAGGATAGATTGTCCCAACTAACTAGACAACTAGGCTTGTAGGTTTCTCTCAACCCTCTCACTTTCATCACGGTTCCCCTTGTCCTTCCTGTCCTATCAAACCCTCCTCAAATAGACAAGAGTCACAAAGGAACTCATCAGCCTATATCTAGATCTCCTGAAACTTAAATAGTGCTCCTTGCAACACAGGGTCATTACAGCTGGATTGGGACTCTTTGATCCCAAAAAGTGAAGTCAAAGATTCAAATGCCCCTCAAGGAAATTAGAAAGTACATCAGATGAAATATCAAGTAGAACCACACAACCATAGGACATGATTAAAATATGTGTTGATACTACAGTTACTCTTGGTGCCAGGAACAATGATTAAGCAGTTCAGTTCAGACCCGTAGAAGAAAGCTTCATCTTATCACTGGTCTCTATCTATTAACATCATACTACTCACCACGTGCACTTATTAATTATATTCCGGTCAACACAGTCCTTAATCATAAGAGGGCCGTTAGCATTTACGTCCAGTCTCGTTAACTTCTTTCTGCAATTTCATAAAGGAAAGGTAGAATCAGAACAGTAACCAGTTAAAATATGAAAATGCAGAGAGAGAGAGAATTTGTCCTTTTTACATAGAAATAAAAACTTTACTGAAAACACAACTATTTCTAGTTAATATTAAACCAGAGCGAAAACTGAATTTCAATGTTCAAAAACTGGTTGAAGCTATGTGAACCTCGTACAAAGTCTTAAACAAAAAAGAAAAGTGTACAATGTAGATGCATATATCAAATCTTGAGACTAGAAAACCTTACTTCCCCGGGATATGTGTTTTAAAGCATTTTCAAAGTTTTAAGTTCATTAGAAAAACAAATGGATCAAACACCTAAATTGGCAGGATGAGAGGCTGCACGTCAAACCAACAATGTGTTCAGCAAGTTCAGCCTCATCTATGCACTGCCTGGAATGTACTTTAAAAAAATTAGTGGTCAATTTTGCCAGCACCTGGTAAAAAAAGGAAGAAGTCAAAATACTAATTAAAAAAACAGATCCACTATTCTGCAAGACATGAATGAAAATCCAGAAGTCATTAATGTGTTGGAATCCAAAGCATTTTCTGTTAGTAGTTCAACCTCCTCAACAGGCGGGCGTCTCCAATCATTATCCTTTGTTAGGTTCTTGTACACTTCTTGTTCCCTAACATTGTAAACAATTTCATGAGATGAAGCATTACATCATGACTATTGCACAAATCCAAGAAATAACTATTATGTTATAGGAAAATGGAAAATAGAGATTTCAATTGCCATCATCACAAACGGTAAACTAGCATCGAGAAATAAATAACAAACAAATTGATAATCTATCAGGAAAAACTACATTCTAAACCAACGTGTTCATACTGCATCTGAAGACAATCAAACAATTTAAGTACACTTATGAGGTCCAACAAATGTGACAAAACACATGCTTTTGACAAACACATTCAACTGCCACGGGCATAAATGAGGAAACATTGTGTATTTGTAACAAATAAAGCTCAAAAAATTGTATATTTCATACAGCAAGTATAGAGGACTAAATGTCAACATAAAATAAATAGATCCTTTCAATTTCATAGTCATTTAATTCATATGATTTTTCAACAATAGCACAATGTTTCATCATTTATAATGAACATTAGCAAATTATAATCAATTGATAATACTCAAAAGGTACGTAAATTTTAATGAACATTGCATAAGTTCCACCTGTTTAAAATAAAAGTAAAAAGAGCAAGGAAAAAAAAATAACAAAGCTTGACTTTTCTAGAAATCAGCTCATCTTTACTTATCACTTGCTCCCATTTGAATGAAATTCCAATTATCTACTGAAAGGAAAAAGAATATTCAAGTTCTTAGATAATCAGCTTGTGGAGCCATCATCAAATTGTTTAATGAACCCAAGTTCAAAAGCTCAAAATTAAAATCTTCGTATTTCTAAATTTGAGGTTTCATTTATGTTGTGTAAGAAATGGCTGCAGACTTACTTATTAAGAATAAGGAGGGCTGAGACCACTTTGACCAATTAAACTTAAGATCCACATTAATAACATGGTTTTTGTTCTCTACTTAATTTAGTAGGTATTGATGAATTTAGAACCACATTGATGATAGAAAAGAAAAACAAAGAGGCATGCTCATAGTGAAGAAGCAACCTAGACCACAAGAAAAATAAAACAACAGTATAACATAAAGATGTTAGTAACATCATGCGCAGACTGTTTATCTAAATCAGGATAACAATTATGCAGCATCCGTCTAAGAAGAATACATAGAACAGTTTCGGAAGATGAATGAATGAAATGGCATGGTAAAAATTCATCACTAGGATATAGTACATATATTTACATAATTAAAATGAGCTACAGATGCACAATGGTAAAATCTGATTTTCATCAATCTCTCACCTTTTATTAATATATGCCATCAACCTATTTGTAAGATAACACACTGTATAGGATGGATAACAACTTCGAACACTAAAAACATGGTCCAAAAGAGATTCATTGATGACAAGGTTGCAAAATTCTTCAGCTTCATACACGAGCAATACATATTGAATCTCTATTCGTTCAGGAGAACTCTGCAAATGAGATATTGAGGTTAATATATGATAAAAATAATAGCAATCTGTAAGGTTAATAAATGCTAAAAATTATATCCTCAAAATAATGATCCTGGCCTACCTACACACACAACGCATGAAGATGCACAACAGTAACTAATCACTATATCATGATCCTTTGAGAGCGAACCTTCAAGCCACACGGGATTCACACTCACAATAAACCTTTGGTATCAAGGTTTATATTTTTATGCAAAAAATGAATTTACCTACTTTTATGATCTATTAGGGGGCACATAAAATGTTCAACCATACAGAAAATATCAAAAATAAATCAAATTCCAGCTAATTTTCCTATTATGAAGCTTAGGAGATAATGCTAGTAGAAAAATACTTTATACTGGCAGAGCTTACAAAACTCTTCAATTTCATACACTTACTACCTGTGAAATATGTTCTGGAACAGTCATGGTCCAGACAATTGATCTTTCAATTGGATTTGATGTTATACGGTATGTTATCCCTCTTTCAGCAAACCTTGTGAGCAGATTTCCTACCACAAAAGTTTATATATCTCAGCTACCAGATATGATGTTATACGGAAAGAGAAAGAGAAGAATATGAAGAGCACACCTCCAACTGACCCCAATTCCACTACTTTAATGTCAATCTCAGCCACTATGGATTTCACAGCAAACTTTCCTTTTTCCCACTTTTGTTGTTCTTTCTGAATCTTTTTCATCTCTGCTGCTTCAGCTTTCAGAGCTGCTCTTTGCAACCTCTCTTGCTGTTTTTCATTAATCTCGATTATTTCATATTTCTGTTAACATGAATTGGGTAAAGACCGTAAATAGCAACTTACTTGCTTCTTTAGATTCTTTTCTTCCATTAGGCGTATCCTTTCCTCTTTCGCCATCTTCCTTGTACCCATTGCTTCGTCTCTAATACTTTTTTCAGTAATAGCTTTAGTTTTTCTTCTCTGTTTCACAATGTTGCCCATCTGATCCATTCTATTTTCTTTGTCAGCAGGATAATCAAGTACCTGATCTCATCATGTCATACATTTTAGGATAAACACCCAATGGTATGTAAGGATAGCAGCAAATGAAAGTTAGCACACCACACCTTCATTAAAAATGAGAACACAACGAAATATCAAAACTTTATGACGTCTCATGAATAGTCTATACATATAATAACATTTAGTTTGAATAACACAGGGCCACAGAAATAAATGACAACCAACTAGAAACTGTCCAAAATAGCTTATTTCTTGATTATTATACATTCCAGTTCAACAAATAGAGGGGAAAAAAGAGATATTAGACATAACAAGATGATTGTTATACTGCAAGACTGGTGCAACTACTAGACTGTCAATGTGAAAATGAAATCAGCAAAACAGCAAACAGAAAACATTCAGAGGAGCTAAACCTTGTTAATTGAGGAAATTGTAGAAGTACAGATTACTTTTCTCCGCCTCAGTAAAGGCAAATGCAGAGGAGCTAAAACTTGTTCTCATTATGTTGTACATCTGTGGAGGATATTACTTAAGGAAGCTGAACTGAGCTGGGTTATTCCACCCGATTGCAGATCCATTCCATTTTAGAGTCATAAGTAGTTTGAGGGAGAAAAACAACGGTAATCTGAAACTGTTGGGTACTGGCATTTTTTTCCAGTGGTTTGGTTCGAAAGCAACAAAAGGAATTTTGAAATTAATAGAAAAGAGGGGAAAGAGTTTCTTTGGGACAGAGTAAGGTATTGGACTTCACTTTCACCATCGGTTTCTCCAAGTTTCAAAATTTAGCTCTCTGCATTGGAGGGCTTCACTTAATATAGTCTTCATTAATGTTTTTTGCACTTTTGTTTGCTGGTTTTGTATTGTATACAGTGGACAACTTGTCCACAACTCTATATTTTAACAAGCCTAGTAATAAATTTTATTTCTTATCCAAAGAAATATGATACTCATTTATTTATTTTTTTAAAAAGTACCCAGAAATCTATCCCAAAAAACAATATACTTAGGTTGCAAGATTTTAATAAATTTTTAAGTACACTCATAGATATCATTTCAATCAACACTTCATTCACTAAATTTTCACCAGTCCCTTCTGAAATGTCTTCATCAATTAGTCTTGACATCCAAATCATAACGAACTTGAAACTTATTAAGGTTAGGAATCATGTATTGCCTACATTTAGAAAATATAATGCCCCATAGAAATTAACAAAACAAAACATACTTGTAACAAGAAGCATGTCTCTGAACAATCAAACATAATTAGTAAACATCATAGACCAGGCTATCAATTGTACCTGATTAATATCAAAATCATCTTGCAAAGAAATAGGTTGCGTAGAACAGTCCTCAGACATATGTGCTAGATTGTCATGTCCTGATAAACATGTATGTGTCCATATTAAAAGGAAAAACATATTCCAGGGAGTATAGTCATTTTGTTGAACATTTTGAAATCTAAGCTGATAAATAACCATAACCAAAGGTATGACAGATACACGAAAACATACCAAGAGAAGATGTGGATTCAACAAATCTGGAACTCCAATCTAAGCCCTTTGCCACACCAAAACCACTAGAAATTGATTTGTTATCCTTCCCCCTTTCCCTTCCAGAACTACTTTCAGACTCATTATCGGATTCCAGAAATACCAAGTCATTAATGCCTGAATGTGAACAAAACACAGTATACACGTGAAAAACCTTCAACATTTGCAAACTAAAATAAAATTTTCAACAAAATTTAAATCGCAGGGTGATTCTGTTCATACCCGAAAGTTTATTTCCAAATTAGTTGCCATTTATAGTATGAGATTCTATTAGAAAAATAAATAAATCATAAAAGGCTTTTTCTCAACACTTTTTAAATTAAATTTCAAAATTAACAAAAATTATACAAAAGAAAAGCGGCAATGCCGACCTGGCCAAAGAAGACCAGCTTCACTGGCTTGAGAAGGCCAACATGGTTCTAGCTCTAGCCTTCTCAAGCTAGTGAGGCTTACCTCCCTTGCTGCTTTTTTTTCTAATTCGAATTAATTTTAGTTTTAAGTTTTTAACAATAGTGATGTATGGCAACTAATACAGAGCAGTATGGAATGTGATAGGCTTCTGCCCCAATTTCACCCAAAAAAAATTATAATCTTAACATAGGCTTCGGCCAGATCGGGTTGTCGTTGTATACATAACAGTTATTATGATGGAAATAAAAAATTTAATAACAAAACTTTGAATTGAACTGAATCAATTTAACCAACAAAAAGAAAATAATATGATTAAACACCAACCATAACAATTAAGAAACAAAGCATAAACAAGAAGTTCACACAAAAACCAAAATGGCAAATAACTAAGCATTTTCCACAAAGCACACAAAAATCGAGTGTAAGACCAGAAACCCTAGTTCAAACAAAATGCGTGAAATAATAACAGAAACCAACCGGAGAACTTGGGCGGGGAATGTGAAACGCTAGCTTGGGAGTCGGAAGGGGCTTTTGAGCATGGAGACTGTCAAGGACCTCGAAGTAGCGGGATGAGGTGGGGCCCGGTGGCTTCCGTGTCGGTCTGGTCGCGTCGTCGTCGTCGTCAAGGACGAGAACCGGAGTCTGAGTATTGAGGTTTGGGTAGGGGTAGAGTCCGGTTCGGCGTTTCTTATTAGAGCAGTGGAATGGTTGGAATGGAGGGGGTGAGGAGAGGGCATTCTGGTCATTTTCTTCTTCGTCGTCGGAGAGGACTATTGGCTGCTGAGGCTTCGACATTTGAGACTGCGAATGAAGAGGGACTCAAGAGAAAGAGATGCGTTTAAAAAAATTTCAGCGGCAACCGGTTTCTTTTACCCGGTTAAATGAAGGCAAACCCGTTTTAGAGTTTTTTTATTTTTTTGGTTGGAAAAGATTTTTTATCTTTTCACTTTTTATCACAAATAATCTCTAATGTTCGCGAAATTACCAGCTTTGGTCTTTTACATGTATTTTTTTTACATTGTCCTTTTACGTTACAAACAAAGCATACCTCAAATTGGTCCTTTTACGTTTCAATTTATTTTCTTAAAACTCCGTCTAGGGGTAAAATCGAAATATTTGGTGAAAAGAATTGTTCGGGGGTGGGATCAGCAAATTTAGGGGCGCAAATAGAATTCCCCGAATACTTGATCCAGTCTCTGGACTCTGGAGCCTCACCGCACTTCTGAAAAGAAAGAGCAAGCCTCTCGACACCTGATCTTGCATTTCCAGTCCACCCCATTAGAGCCCTCTCTGCTGTGCGCCCTCCATCTTCATCTTTCATTTTCAGTCCCAGCTCCCTCCTTTCAATCTCTTGCTCGGTAAGTGTATGCTGTAATTTTTTTTAAATTCCTATTGTATTTATGGGTTTCGTGAATAATCAAATATTGTTTGTCTAACCAAAGGAAAAAAGAATAATTGAAAATTGTTTGATTATAATTTGAAAATCAGCAAGCATGTTTTTATTTTTGTTTCATTATTAGTATTGATTGGAAAATTGGCCGCCACCAACTTCCTCTTGCCCCTTTCACCCATCGAGCAGTGAAATTTTTTAGTATTATTTGGTATATATGCTTTTGAATCCGGTTTATATGTTTTTGGTTCTTGTGTTTGATTTGTAAGGATTGATTTTTTTAGTGTGTTTTTGGTTAGTGATTATCACACATTTGCAATTATTTGTTAGGGTTAAATCTGTTGCCCAAAAGGGATTGTGTTTATAGGTTCAAGTGTGCGGTCGGGGATCGAACCAAACTAATGCGTCCCTTGCCCACCCATTGATTATGGGATGTAGCTTATTTTTGGTTGCTAGATGTCCAATACTCCCTTCTTTTGATACTTGAAAATGAAACAGTAGGATTTCGATTGTTCAGATGTCTTTCTCTTTTTCTTTTCCTTTTGGTTTATAAAGAACAAAACAAAGTCTGCTTCTCTGAAAACAAAATTATTTCACTGGGTGGCAGTAAGAATCAAGTGAAAGGTCATCTGTACGATGATTGAATGATCAATTCAGATCTTACTTAAAAGTGCTTATTTGTCCAAGAGGTACTTTGTGTCATAACTGAGATTTATATTTTTAAGCTGTATACTTTGTTTTTATGAAAAAACTGCAAGGGGTGTATTTAAGATGTACAGAAACCATTATCCAAAGATAATGTGTCATGCCCTCTTTCGAATAACAGTGACAAATGTTTTTTCATTCTAATTTTCTCAAGTTTCGATATGTAAATTAATTACATAATAATTGAAAAATAGTCTCCAATAGATAGAAATGATTTCTCATTCATATCTTGCAACTTGAGTATCTGCAACTCTATAGCTGTGTCCTCTTCTTCAACTTCAACAGAAAAAATTGGTGTAGATTTTGTTTATAAGGTTGGACAGTTATAATTGCCAACTTAGTAGCAGCAAAAGCTTAGCTTAGATGTCTTTTGTCTTTTTAACTGCCTATAATAGAGCAGGTTTTCTCTTTCTTGTCGATCGAGGATAACTTATCCTCTTGATTATTAATACAAAAGTTTGTATTAAAACAAAAATAGTAGCAGCAAAAGCTAAGTAAAAATCAACCTTCTTGGCCACTTTCTGAAATGATGAGGTGATTCTTTACCACAGAGAATAACTTATAATTTTAATTCTAAGTTTGAACCATACTGCACCGATACTTCAAACTTTGGCCAGGGGAGGTATCAAATATAGGTACGGATACGATACGTCTTCAATCGTCTTCAATACATGCCGGGAAATGAAGTATTGTTAACTTTTCTATTTTGCTGACCATGGGTTACGGCGTCGATACAGAACTGATACTCACAGAACACTGTCCCAATATGGTCTAGATACGGCTAGTGGTTATTTAGAAATTGTTTGAAAATTTATGTGGTCTTTTTGAATATTATAACAAAATGGGGTCGAAATGTGAATTTTAAAACTTGGCCAGATCACACCCAGCCTATTCTTCTCAACAGAAAGAGGAAAACGCTAGGTTTTCACATTTGAAAAGAAACAGCAGCACCAACCAATTCAAAGATCCAGAAGGAAGAAGGAAGAAGAAAGAAGAAAGAAATTTCAAAAGGACCTCTTCTTCTCCACTGAAAGTTCTGCTGCTGCATTTGCTCCACCAGGTCTTAACTCACGTTAACTTGTTGCTCCTTCACTTACTTTGTAGATGTATTAGAGATAAGTTTATTCATTATAACCAAATCCAAATCCTGTCCAGATTCTGTCGAGTAAAAAGAAATTAAAACTCCTTTATGAAAGATATTTTCGAACAAGAAATGGGTAGTGTGGGGGATGCGGGCACTTCTAGTGCTAATGATGCTCATGATGTGGAGTTATAACCAATTCATTCATTATAACCAATTTTGTATTTAAATTATTTAAAATATATATTTACATTATTTTAATTGTCGTATCCTTGCTGTATCCTAGTTTTTGGACATTTTTTGTATCACCATATCGTATCGTTATACTCATACCTGTGTCCAGGCAATGAGGATTACAGTTAAGGAGCACTGAGTAAAGATGGCTTAAGATAAATAAGTTTTTATTTTAGATATTAAAAACATGTACTCATGCTAGACTCTCTTCTTAGAAGGGCTGAAATTTTTAAGATTTAATTGGATTCTTTAGTCTTGCCTTGATTTTCTGGTTCCTTGCTGAATATGGTTTTTATTTTGAACTCCCTTTTCGAGTGATCTTTTGTTGGGTCGGTAAGTTCCAATCTTACCAACGTGTGTACATGTAGGACCTATGTAACAAGTATTTGAAGACATTTCCATGAGAAATTAGTGTTCTGTTCTGTTTCTAATGCCCAACTGAAGGGGAAGGAAATAATTTTATATGTTATAATTTGTGTTCGTAGGCCATCACTAAGAACTAGTGTTGGAGTTGTAAACACGTTCACATCACTGAGTTCAGACATGAGCTCTTACTTTTTCCCCTGATAATATATTTGTTATTTATAATGTTTATAATCTAACTTTGTTATTTAGTTTTTATTAGTCGAATGCTGGTATATGATCTGCCTATTCTGCTTATTATGCATTTGGTTGCCATGAAAACAAAACCCTAAAAGAAAATTTTATTTCTAATGTTGCTGAAAAACACTTAGAAAGTGGAAATTTGTAGCTTCTGAAAAATATTATGTTTTGTGTTTGTTTTATTTTAAGTTTTGTTGTGTGATTCTTTGGATGTTTGTGTTGAAATGTAGCAGAAAGTTTTACAGGCTCTGAGTAAGCAGAGAAATGGCCTTAATGAGGGGAGAGCCACTAGTGACGAAGCTTGCAGTGTTGGCCAAGTATGTGGTTCTTCCTGGAGCCATGGTCGCCGCCCTCATCTATTCACCTCCTGATTACACTTCTTCCAAGAACAATCCTAAGTCCACCAAATAAGACATAGCTCGGTCAGTACCTTTTCCTCTTTGCTAAAACTCTGGTTTCATATCTCTGTTGTGATTTGAATGACCTGGCAAGTGTATGTGAAATTTCCATTTAGTGCTTTTTGACTTTGCCTTTTAAAGCCTTCACTTATTATTATTTGTAGAATTCTGTGTAGGTACCAGTGCTATAGATATTACCCATATATATGTTGCCCTGGATGTGGTTAAGGTATTATAGGTACTTAATTGTTTTCAAATACGTCTTATATCCATCGGATATAAGAAAACGAAATTATTATATACCTTTGTTTTTTGGTTGCTAAAAATGAGAGGCTTTCACGGTGGAGCTTGGCAGGAGTGTGGTTCTTTGGGAGTTTGAGGTTTATGAGAGAGATGAGTGTCGGTGTTATAGGGTGAGATGATGAGAGTGTGAGACCCACATTTATGTGAGTGAAAGAGAAGATTGGGTTAAGTGGTGTGTGGCTATTCATTAGGGGTATATGGTATTTCCATTTGCAATTTGCTCAAAATTTTTGATTTGCATATAGGAAAAGGGTTCACACATCACCATGGGTGCTAAAAGTGGTTGGCTTTGTAAAAAAACTTGATGAGATAAGAGAAATTAACTTTTGCTATCTTTAAAACCATATTGTGCTTTCCCAGGATATGCTATATTTTCATTCCCCTTGCATTTCAACAAGCAGACAGAATTTGTTATGAGATTGCGTGAAGTTGAAATATAGGTAGCTTGATTATGTGAGTCTGCATGCTCTAAAGTATTATGTAAATCAACTCCAGAGTGCAGTCTCGTGATCTATAGTAGTTCTCCACTAAAATGTTCAAGTGTATATCAAAATTTTGTTTTCTATTGCTTAATCTTCTTACATACCTCTCAGCTTTGATACCTCTTTTCTTAAACGAAAAATTGTGCGGGATAACTGATTGTAAATTTCCTTTTGTACAGGGCCATACTGCATAGAAGTGGATGTTAGAGATGTGCTCTCCTCCTGTTCAAATTTCGTATGGAATAATCTGAGCCTAATAGATGCTCAAGTTGAGGGATTTTTCCTGCTTTCTTTGAAGAACTTTGACATGAACTCTGTAAATGTACTTCCTTATTACCAGATTTCCTCTGTCAATCCCTTAATCGAATGACTCTCGACGAAGAACACTTGATTACAATAATTGTTAGATGATAGTTGTTGCCAGACTGGGTTAGGGATGAAATCTCATTGGTTGACTAGTGCTGCGACTGATGATATGTTTTGTTCACAACCTGTCCCAGTAGCTCTCTGTTTCTTGTCACGAAACGTAAACCTTGATTAGGATTTAATTTGTTGAGGCTTTTTCTAATTAATGGGGGAGGGATTCGAAGGTTGAACATCTTCCAACATTTGAGAAGCAATATAGTTGGCTTTTAAGTGATTGGAATTAAAATGTGGGACTTGAGTTTCATATTGTGGTTTGAGTCCGGACCCATGGCTTATGTCTTCTGTGCTAATTTTACACCATGTCCAAACCCAAGTAATTTCAACCTTCATTTTCATTATAGTTTCAAGGTAAATTCTAAATGGTAATCCTAAATCATGAACATTTGACTATTGAGAAACTTCTTGGCAGATATGGTTGCAATGTAATCGTTTAATTTTTCAGTCCAAAATCGCTCATGCCATTGGTACCATTACTTCCATTAAACAAATTATGTATGACTTTTGGAACATTCAGAATGTCCTTCAAAATGGAAAAGACGCGGCTGGTTATGTTATTCGTATTTCTCATGGCATTATTACGTTCAATTCCTCCTAATCCGTATCGGATTAGTAAGCCATTCCTATTGGATTTTGTTCTGTACTAGAGGCTGAAGAAGCACATGGTTTGAGATTTGGTCTTTCTTCTGGTAGTCATTCGGATTTTGATAATCTAATTATTGAAGGGCTCATCCGATTTCTCAAGCAACGAAAGCATCCTATTATTGAAGGGCTTATCTGATTTTGATAATCTAATTATTGAAGAGCTTATCACATTTTATCTTTATTTCAGGTATCCGGAATCTTTGTCAAGATACTGAACCTGTGTCTGATTATCTTTCTTAGTCTTCAGATGTCTTGAGCCTCGATAATAACGAACTTGTGTGATTTCCGCTTTCATTCCAAATCTCAGTAATATTTATTATGAAATGTCGAAAACCAAACTATTTCATGTATATAATAGCCAATCACAATGCGTGAATTTGAACACTAAATGAATTCACTTCTGCACAATACGTTTATAAAGAGGTTGCTCCATCCAGCTCCTCATGCACAAGATACAGCAAATGCACAACCCTAACCACGAAGTGACGCCCTAGGGACAGCTGGTAAACCCAATTCGTCCTCAGCCTGCCAGCAGTGAATTTTAAAGAAGAATTAGCACAAGGCAACAATGATGGGTGGCATGTGGCCAGTGGAGTAAGTACTCCCCTCCACCCGGTGCCGCCACCCAAGTAAATAAACAATCATTCCAATGACAAGAGGAGGCAGCCGAGGCCGAAGACTTGCCTCTTTTGTTCAACACACATTTTCTCATGAGATAGAAACAATGTTCAAATTTCAAAAAAAAAATTGGTATTTTAACCATAAGGCAAATGTGCATTTCAGCAAACAAATTCAATACACTTGTACCTGGGCATTGGATCTGCCCGCTGGAGCTGCTGCATGTCCTATGGGTGCTGAAGGCAAGTGGAGCTCTGCATCTAAATCAGATTCCTTATCAGGTTGGAGATAGGAGGGAACGCCATCGGCTTCAGTTTCCAAACCCATGTCTGCTTCTAGAGCATCCAGCTCTGCAGACAAGATTGAAATACAGTTGGACAATTAAAAACAGAACAAGATTGCATCAGAACATGGAATCATATGCATTGATGCTTTATATGAGACCACAATAGGTCTTAATGCAGTACTATTGACAAGTAAAGTCACTTAAAAGTTTGCGCGCAAGATGAACAAGACAGTTTCACCTAGCCTATATTCTAAATCCCTGATTTCAGAACCTACAATCTTGTCATGCAGACAAATCACAAAGCAGCTTTTGACACTCATTGGATGATTTACTTCACCCAAGCCACTGGGTGAAATTAATCAGAAAGTTCTCTTCTCTGTATGGAACCTGTAGCCAGTATATCCTTCAATATTTAAGAATTCAATGATTTCTAAGCTTACCACCCATAAGATCCTCCTCATCAATGTCATCAGGAACATTATAGCTTCTACCAAGGGTTTCTTGAATTTCATTGCTTACATCCATTAGGTCCATCATTTCATCTTGCAAATTCTATGGCAAACGAGTATTCACATGTCAGTAAGAGATACTTTCAAATGTACAAAGCATGGAAGCAACGGGAAACAAAAAACAGAAGAGAGTACTGCTACTGACATCAATATCTTGAATCTTCACCGTTTTCATCATTCCTTTTAGCTCCTTGTTGGCAGATTTCAGAGCTGTCATCTGTGTAAAACATATCAAAGTTAATTTCCAAACAAAATCTACTCACTGCAGAAAATATGCCTCCATGGAATCTACATTTAGAAATCTAAATGGATACCAGGAAGTACAACAGAATCTAGGACTTATACCAATCACATATTTATAAGCAAAAACCCTCCCTATACACAAATGGTCCATCTCCTACCTCTCATGAGGTAGGCAGCAGGTTCCAATCAGGGTACAGAAAAAGCTCCTCCTCAACAGCTTTGAACTATGCCCCTTGGGGCGCTACCAAGGAAAACCAACAATTTTAAGGTGAATATAGTATAGCCCCAGTTCAACCAAATTTGATGTAGCATAGAGTGACTATCCAACATGTTGCAAATCAGTAACTACCTCATTAATTTGGGCATCTTACTTATCCTTTTTCTCCCCCTTCATGAGAGGAAAGAAGGCATCTTATCCATCTAAATACATGTCATTAAAAAAAAAATTACTGGGTTCATACCCCCAGCCCTCAAGCCTAAAGGTGTAATTTCACCAATTAAAAGATAAAAGTTCGTGGTACAAAGTCATTTGTTATGCTGAGCTACGACATTCATTATCCTCCAATCCTCACATTTGACAATCAAAACAATCCAACACATGGGCATGGTGAGACTAATAGATCCTTATACATATACACTCAATAAAAAACATGTGAACATAATCACAAAATTTAACAGCTAAAGACATACCGTTTGCTGAGCATCTTTTATACCCTCTGAGGCAAAGGCCACTTGGTCAAGGTTAAATGTCTGATTATACAGCATGTCACGCTGTCCTTCATACCTGTGTCCAGAAACTTAATGAATTAATACAAATCATTGAAGAAAAAAGGATAATGCAAATTGAGTCATACAGTATATTCACCATACCCCTTACAATTTGCAAAATGTATCAATCAAATTCTAGATGCCAAAGAGAATGATCCCAATATTAATGGCAAATAAAAAAATGTTTGCATAAATGTAACCCTATCTCACTCGTTTCGACGTCCCAGTGATGACCTAGATTTGGTATTTCACGATGCAAAATATTCTATTTTTCATTTGAGGCCAGACAATGCAAAAACTTAAACCTTATGCCTTCAATTAGCAACACCACGCTCTAGAAAATCTAAGTACATGCACATACTCATCTGTATGCATGCCTACTTAGTATTTCACTGGAGCATAACCTTCACACTTCAGTTGCCCATCATGTTTATGTGAATTTTGTTCCAACAATATCATTCCAAGTCTTCAATCAACCACTTACGTCCAACACATAAGTATCCATTCTTAACCCTTCTGATGTCACAAAAATATTTAACCATTCTTCCTATTTCCCCAGTCGTAACCTTCTTCAAAGATTCGAATCAAAGACCAAGCTTTTCTGAAAAGTCCAAATAAACCAACTTCCAAATCCTGATAAAACTGCTGACTGATTTCACATGAATGAAACATGCAACAAAATACGGGGAAACATAAATCACATAGAGGAGCAATAAACCATTAACATGAAGGGGGGCACTTACATTCGCTTTTGCTTGAGAACCCTCATGGCTCGAGACTTGACAGCTTCTTGTGCAGGACCAGGCCTTGTCTTCTTGATCTGCTCTTTGTATCTATTAAGTTCAATATCAAGCTTCTTGATCTTCTCATCCACTGTTTCGCCTCTTTTATTAATCTGTTACATAATAATGTTTACTTCACCCAACAGTTCTAGCAGAATACCAACAGAAATTGTAAAGCTGAAATATTCAAACAAGAGTTGCTCGGAAACCAAGCATCAAATTAGTTACAACCATTATCGATTCTAAAGCTGGTCATAATGATTTGAATAAATCTTCACTCTTGATTATAGTAGGGTTTATCATTAACTGGCTCTCCCAACAGATATTGAGTATGGGTTTGTAATAAGATGGATACACCAGTTAGTTGGCAATTCTTAAAATTGTTCATGACCCATTTTTGGCAATTATGCATTTTGTTAATGTTTCCCATGTTACCAATCTAAACATATTAAAGCAAGAAGGGAATACAAGTTCAAAAATCCAGGATTCTTCCCAAGTAACCTAAAGAACAATAAAAACCTGATTAACCCAACCCTAATTCTGAGATACCCAACAATAGCTTTACGAAATAAACTAGAAGAGTAGAGAGAAAGAGAGAGGACCCTTTCGGAGGCATCTCCAACAGACGGCGGAGGTTCTTTTTCTTTCTTGACACCGAAGACCCTCTTCATCTTCTCTCGTACTTCTCCTCCTTTGACCTAAGCTACGACCGATTCAACCAAGCTTTTTCTCCCAAAGCACTTGAACACAACACGCAGAGAGAGAGAGAGAGAGAGCAATACTTCAATGGTCTGCTTCAGCAAATCACCCCCTTTTGTAGTCAATGGGATATATCTGAAACCAAGGCAGAGCATTCAATCATAAAATTGAATCTGGTTTCTCATTACATACAAAAAGAAATCCAAATCTACAAAAACCCAATCAGATTTCCATCAAACTTACCAGGAAAATGGGAATTTTCAACTCAAAGTTGATGAGAGGAAAATAAGAGGAGGACGATTGATGAGATCCGAGCTCGATCAGTTCAATATTCGCTTAGCCCTAACTAATTTTGGGAATTTTCTGAACATTGAAAATGCAAATTTGGGATATTTCGAGGTGGGTTCGCTATTCCTTCCCCGCGGCTTCCTTTACTTTGCGTTTTGGACAGAAAGCTATCCAAACTCACCAACAACAAAACAAAATGTACTTTTAAAAGGAAAACGCTTTTTTTTTTTTTTTGTTGGTGAAAGAAAAACGCTTTTCAATTAACCCAAAGGGTTAAATTATGATTTGGATTCTCTGTAGCACGGGTGAAGTTCCAATTTGTACACGGCAGTTTGCTTCGGATTAGAAGGGGTTTACACGGCTAATCCTTTTTTCTTTTGCATTTTGTTCAACTTTATTAGTCCAATTACAACAAAACAAAAATTCGATAACATACTTTTTTTTTTCTTTTCATTTTCATGAAATGTCATCAAAATTCAACGTGCTATCAAATTAATAGTTTATTTTTTATGCGGCAAAATAATAGTTATAACCTAAAGATTAATAACTTCAATCAAACATCATTATTAGCATCTTTATCTTTATCTAGTTATTAGTCAATAAGAGACTTACAAGTATAAAATAAAATAATATAAAAATTTATACAATCAATATGTCCGGTTTAATTCAACTCAGTTTATAAAAGCTCAAAATTGACCCCAAATCGGACCATTATTGTTTGGTCTAGTTTTAAATCGGGTCATGTGGTCAGTTGTTTTGAATGTGTTGGTCAAAATGTTGATGGTGACATGTTGTAGGGATTCACCCACAAGTGGGTGCAAATTAGTGATGTATTGCTGTGATCTTGGCTTCTTTCGAGCTACTGTGGCCAAGTTAAGAACGGGTTCTCGACAATAGAGTTCTAGATCTCTACTATAAGACTTTTGAAATTGAAAATGTGTTTGATAGTATCACCGAGCTCGGTAGCTTGGTGGTGGCACTAGGCTCGATAGCCAAGTGGTTTCAAATAACTTAAGAAATGCAGGTACCTCAAGGAATTTGGATGAATTGGATGATGTTCAAAAATTGGCTTTGTAAATGACAAACAAAGAAAATCTTGTTGATGTATGAAATAGATGATCGAAATGGGGAATGCCCAAGAACTCAAAACAGTTTTTTGAGTTTTGTTTACGGAAGTTACATGAAATCCTTAAAAAAAGCATTAAAAACTATGAAGTACGCGATAAAAGTTACATGGAGAGTAGCGTTGAAAGGACCTGAACTCTCACTTCTTTGTCTTGAGTCCGACTCTTTGTTGACTTTGAGAGCGGAGGGCCGTGGGCTTTGGAGTTGAATGTGAGCATCTTTTGGCCGCTGCAACGTCTACGCATGCGATCTTCAGTTTTCCGGTGATCTCGTCAACAATTTGTCTGGCAAACGTTCCTTCATACCTGTTAGTTAAAATTCAAAATTGAGCAAAAGTAAGATTAATTAGGCCGCTGCAACGCTGCAAGATTAAATTGAAATACTATCTTATTCATTATGACTACAGAGCTTGGGATTGAATAAGATTTGAATGTATTAGTTCAACATTTATCCGAAATTGCTGAATCAAAATCTCATAATCCCATTAAGATTTTGTAAACTTCTGAAAACACTAATAGAAATATATTTAAATATAAAAAATATCTGACCACACGTGTAAAAGAAAGAGAATGATTATAAATTCTCGTATCAGTGATCCTATAAGCTCTTCATTACACTGATAAAAACCAAAGATGATTTTGGCACTTAAATATTGTAAAAAGGAATCATTCAAACAATGCATGGTGGTGGTATGCAAAAAATAGGTCGGGAAAAAACATTAAGAAAAAGAAGAACAGAAGAAACAAAGAGATGGAAATAAGTAGTTACCCATCACTCTCCGTACAATCAAGGCCGGACAAATTTGCAGCTTCAATTAGAGACTTTCTCCAAGACTGCATCATTTCTTCCCAATCTGTAACTCTATGGTAGTAGACTAGAAAACAACCAGTTTGTTTCCCAACGTCTTTAGGATCAACATCGTAGAAAATTGGCAAAACCATCTGCCCCAGTGTTCTTCTACACTCCATGATCTTCTCCAGCTCCTCAAGACACCCTATGGAAAATGCATACTCCCTTGAGAAGATGATGACAGCGATTCTGGACTGTTTAATTGCTTGCATCAGTTCTGGTCCTCTTAGTTTATTCTCGGCAATCAAGACGTCGACTCTGGCGCGTTTTAATGTCCAGTAGAGGTGGTCTGTGAAGGTCTTGCGTGTGTCTACGCTGCAGCTCAAGAACACATCGTACATCTCATCAATTGAGGAGCAGGATGAAGAGGATGGAGAGGATGGAGAGGAGGCTTCGTCCACTATACTGGTATCCATTAATATTGTTACTGCAGACTTGTATGCTGAACAAGTTGTTTCGTCTGATTAATTTTTATGAAAACGGTCGTGTGCTGCACAGATAATAATACTGAATATTCAAACCCTCTATAGACTATTTATACTAGAATACACCAGCCAAGTATTCATATTCCTAGTTTAATAAGAAACCCTAATTAACAAAGGAAATTAAAAACAAAACAGGAAATCAAACCAAATTCTAGTAAGAATAGGAAAACAAATAATAAAATAACCTATTAATTTATTATAACTAAAACTTAGCCTTATTGGCTGATGAGCCTATTTAGATTAGGAAGTCTAATAGATGCTCCTGCATCAAAAAAAAGCAGCTAAACAACTTGGTAGTCGAAACAATTTGTCACAGACAAAACCAACAACTCCATAATCCCAATAAACCCAACGCCACCTGTTCACCCCCTCTGACCCCGAACCAACCCCAGCCCCCATCCCTCTCTCTCTCTCCTGGCGTCGGCTCGGCGGCGGAACATCCAAACCCAATTTAGCCAAAGGAGGAACTGTTGAAGTGAGTCTCCTAATTAATCAAGGGGATTTATTTCCTTGATTAATTAGGGGATTTATTTTCCTATTTTATAGATTTATTTCATTTGGTTAATTAAGGGATTTACTTTCCTATTTTATATAGTTGTCAAATCATTGTATAATTAGGAGATAATTTCCTAATCCTTTACTGGATCTAATTCCTTGTAAAGCACTCATGTAAACTCTTATATATACCTCCTTATGGAGAAGAATAATAAGAACCTAACATATTCAAAACCCATATTCATATTTTAGCATGGTATCAGAGCAATCGATCCTCGGTTGTCTCTAAATTCTCATATCAAATTTTCTCCTCCCCTCAGGAGGGGAGGGGGAGTGAAAAAGGATTTGTTTCTCATTATCATGGAGATTTTGCCTCTTTCTTGACTCTGACATACCCTTCTCTTCAGGGGGAGAAGAGAATTGAAGAGAAGTTTCTATGTTCTTAAGCCGTGTTCACAGGGTTTCTGTGTTCTTAGCCGTGTTCACAGGGTTTCTGTGTCCTTTAGCCATGTTCACAGGGTTTCTGTGTCCTTTAACCGAATTTACAAGGTTTCTGTGTTCTTAGCCGTGTTCACAGGGTTTCTGTGTTCTTTACATTCCTCACATTGTATTCCTCGTATCGTATCGAATTTTCTTGAACCACAAATCCTAAATCAAATTCCTCATATCCTCGTATCGTATCCTCGTATCCTAACTCAAATTCCTCGTATCCTCGTATCATATTCCTCATACCGCCTTGTTCATATTCAAATCTTCATACCCACATCCTCATCTACTCTTATCCCGAAACCCTAAACACATATTTTTTCTCTTATTCTTAAATCCTTCCGCTGCCATGGATATCGTATCCTAATCCAAATCCGAATCTGAATCTGAATCCGAATCCAAATCTGAATCCCAACCATCCAACCTGAATCCGAATCTCAAATCCAATTCCTACATCACATTCATACATCAAATTCCTCAAATCAAAATCCTCCAATCAAAATCCCTCACATTCTCATATCACTTTTTTACTTCTCTTATTGCAGACTCAAAACGACCGGTCGCCCGAAGCAAACGACCGAACACCTGAAGCAAACGACCGGTCGCCAAAGACTCTGCCTGAATTGCATGGATTATCAACCGGTCACCAAAGACTCTGCCTGAATTGCATGGATTATCGACTTGGGTGCTACGAATTTCTTGACTCACTTACTAAGTTGGGCATTTGTGACGTATATGCACCAACTTGAGGAGGAGTGTTGAAGTGAGTCTCCTAATTAATCAAGAGGATTTATTTCCTTAATTAATTAGGGGATTTATCTTCCTATTTTATAGATTTATTTCCTTTGGTTAATTAAAGGATTTACTTTCCTATTTTATATAGTTGTCAAATCATTGTATAATTAGGAGATACTTTCCTAATCCTTTACTGGATCTAATTCCTTGTAAAACACTCGTGTAAACTCTTATATATACCTCCTTATGGAGAAGAATAATAAGAACCTAACATATTCAAAACCCATATTCATATTTTAGCAGAAACAACGGTAGTCAGAACCAGATCCCGAGCTACAACGACATGTCGTCGGAGCCACAATGCTCTCGGAACCCAAAGTGCCAGTGGCGTCGCAGCGACGTCCTCAACAACATGTGCTTCCCAAGCTCGAGGCTTTGTGACAGGACCCGACCCAAATTCCACTTTGGAATCCGAGCCGAACCCTGTGCATGTCCGACACCTGGTGAGTGTCGGGCACAACTGACCAAACTGCCCTTCCAAACAAAACTCCCAACTAATCTCAAGTTTGACTTCTGCCGAAAATTCGGCAGAGTCTCCTCTGTAATTTGAACATTTCCCAAAATTTATTCCTGTAAAACAAGCATATATATAACCCAACTACCAGCATGCATAAAATTATGTCCAAGAAAATCAAGCATCAATCATTCTGGCCTCAGGCCTCAACAATTCAAATAAATCATTCTGCTAACAAACTCAATGCTGATTCTTGGAACACTATCATAATAGTATTAGATTTCAAATAACTTAACTAGACTACCTGTCAATCAATTATCCTCGCGGCTGCACCTAGAATTCTAGGTTGCCTACGTACCCTTAACCAGGGATCAAGCCACACGTAGTTCTCATTTATACATTGCACTTGTTATACTTGCACAGAAACCGAACATGCTTATTTATATTTATATCACAAGTCATACGTTTGCATAAACCTTCACACCAGTTTAAAGCATTATAAAATAAACATTCATCTTCCACCTGGGTGTGTCTATCATTATCTGTCATTTCCTCGTGTCTCAGTTCATGACACGTCCTCGCAAGTCTCGGTAACACAAAGTCACCCGAGCCGCAACCCTCGCAGGATTCAAGGGACGTTTAGTCGACCTGATCCGCATTTCTTGAAATAGTTCGCATTCAAACATATGTAAGTCACTTATTGCATTTCATCTAGTTCATACACCCATATATGTAATTTATATGCTATTGGCTTAAATTATATATATATAAATTACATATATACGAAATAAATAAAGATGAAAACAACGATAGATTAAGGTGAACATAAAGATAAAAATAAAATAAAATAAAATAAACTCAACACGCTTCGAAACTTACTTAAGGCTCATATATATATATATATATATATATATATATATATTATTGCTTACGAAATTTATGGTATTGTATAAACTCCTCCATTTTAGTTTAACAGCAATCTCAAAACTTAAATTCTCTCCACCTAGGAGTACCCTAATTCCCGATCCGTCAATTCCAATTATTATTCCGTCAATTCCATCCTCGCAGATCTCGGAAACACAAAGCTAACCGAGCCGCGTTCCTCGCAGGCCTCAGAGACACCAAGTCAATCCGAGCCGCGCTCCTCGCAGGTCTCAGGGGACCATAAGTCAGCCTGAGCCGCGTTCCTCGCAGGCCTCGGAGACACCAAGTCAATCCGAGCCGCGCTCCTCGCAGGTCTCAGGGGACTGTAAGTCAGCCTGAGCCGCGTTCCTCGCAGGCCTCGGAGACACCAAGTCAATCCGAGCCGCGCTCCTCGCAGGTCTCAGGGGACTGTAAGTCAGCCTGAGCCGCGTTCCTCGCAGGCCTCGGAGACACCAAGTCAATCCGAGCCGCGCTCCTCGCAGGTCTCAGGGGACCATAAGTCAGCCTGAGCCGCGTTCCTCGCACCACACGGTTCAGGCGTCCCCGAACTCGTGGGGCATTATTTATGAATGAAATCTGTTTCAAGGCAACTGGGGGGTACTCCTGTGGTGGGTTCGAAAACAAAATCATATCTAAAACTTATCTTGAGATTCCTCTTATTTCACAAACTATTTAGATATTTAGCTAATTTATTAATCATGGCAATATCCCATTAACAAACCATTCCAAAACTAAAATAATAATATTTAAAAGTAATGGATAACTAAATGAGTAAATAATTGAATAAATAAATAACTAAATATAGAGTTCAATACCCACTGCCAGAAAATCTCAAAATTTGGGGCCAAGCATCCTACCCTAGATTCAGACCATCAATTGGAGTCACTTTTGTTCTTGGATCATGGACAAAAACTAACTGGAACTAGCCGAAACAAAGCCGAAACCGTCGGCCAAAATGGGTACTTTGAACTATCTGAAAAAAACCTTAATATCTATCTACAATACCTATATAAACAGATAGATCATGATGAGGGGATGAATTTACATACCTCACTCGACGGAATTGGCCGTTGGAATCGCCGGAAAATGCAAGAACATTGCCGGAAAACCGAACCCTTTTCTAAGCTTCGAATCGAGCTCATCGCCAACGAATCAAATCGGGTTTTGGGTGGGTTTTATAGAGGAGGACGAGGGGAACATTTTTTGTGAAGGTAGCACGGCCAACCGGTGCACAACGGCGGCGTATGACGGCTTGGAAGTCGAACAGTCACTGCTGCTACAGTGACTGTGTCGATTTGCCAAGGAAGAAGAAGCTGGAAAAATGGAGGGGAAGAAGGAGAAAAAAATATAAATTTGGCCGGTACTGTAGCAGTACTGTAGCTACAGTAATAATTTTAAAAATTCCTTCTATGTCCTTTTTGTTTTTAGACCTTTCATCCTTCGTTACAACTCGGAATTGAGCGTGCCGTGTGTCTACGAACTCGTTTCGACGAGCCCGATACAACGGTCCAAACCAATTTTCCAAATTCTATTCCGGTCAAAAAGTCGATTTTAATCATAATAAAATATTTTCAGGGCAAAATTGTCTTTTTACCAAAATAAATTAATAATTAATAATTATTTAAGGACCGAGTTGTTACACTTTGTGCTTACCCCAACAGGTCTTCTCTTGCAAAATTGACGACAGTCGTCTCAACAGAAATCATGAGAAAGCTTAGCTTGAGTAGATTTTAAGTTAAAGTCAACTGCTTTTAAATCTTTTTCCACTTTTAATCACAAATCAATTATTGTCTATTGTTGTTGTTGTTTGTTGAGTAGTGAATTGTGCATCTTGTGATCTGTAAATTATGTGTTGTGAATTGAAATTGATTTGTTCTTCAATTGATGGTCTGAATCTTTTGATAGATTGTAGTTGAA